CGATCACATAATAGAATAGCATATTATTGCCAAAATTGACATTTACGCGAGCGAAGCCGTGGGCTAGTAGGTATATAAAATTTATTATATTTTACTTCAACCATTAAGATTTGTACAGTTAGTATTGATAACAATTAATAACCAAGTTCTGGTAAAGCTGGTTCTGCAACTAATCTGCCTTTATTTTGTTAACAACAAAGTCAATTAAACATATGAGTTACAGAACATCCTAAAGGTTGAGTAACAGTTAGTACGTAAGGCAAATGAACCGGCCAAGTTCCCGTCTGACAGGCGCAGTGTTGGACTTTGTAATTTATTACTAACCATTTTATAAACAATAAAAATCCCAAACAATTTTTAGAATTTATAGTGTGTACAAAAATTTCAAACTATTTACATTTTAGAAGCTAACCGACTACTACCTTTTCAGTCAGGGTTTCGAACAGGCCATAGCATCTGCTCTTTTTAAAGGTAATTGAGAATACTAAGGTTACTACCGTAGTACTGGTTGATTTTGCCAATGCCTTTAATACCGTCAGTCATGACATCCTTGCTGTCCTATCCAATTTCTCGATCTCTCAAGACGCACTGGGCTGGTTTTCCTCTTACCTTCGGGATCGTCAGCAGTCAGTCAGTTTCGAAGATTCTTCCTCCAGCTGGTCCGATCTCCCTCAAGGCGGTATTCTTTTACATCTTTCCCTCTTCAGTGTTCCTTTCATCTCTACGCTGATGACTTGCAGCTATACTACCAAACAGAGTTGTACAATATATCGTCCGTGATTTCGGTTGTAAATAGTGACCTGGTAGTCATTAAACACTGGTCTGATATGTTTGGCGTATCGGTCAATCCGAATAAATTTAAAAATCAGGAGTAACCGTGGTATGAGCCAGCTCAACCTTGCCTCACTTCCACCACTTATCTATGACGGCATGGTTATTTCATACTGTGAAAGTGAGAAAGACCTCGGATTGTACATTGACACAACTCTGAGCTGGCGAAAACAGTGAAGTGATAGGTTCGCTCTGTGGGCCCTGTATAGGCTTAAAAAATTTCTTCCCTCGAAAACTAACGTAATGTTCATCTCTAATATTCCCTATAATCAACTATGGTGATATGTGCTACTTTGACCTAAATGCAGATCTGCTCAATAAGCGTGACCGTCTTCTCAATAATTGCATTCGATTCGTTGTCAATAGGCTATTTGACTAAAAAAAAAAGAAAAAAAAAAAAATAGGCTATTTGACTAAGTTTAGAAAATGTTTTAGATTATTCTAAACATGATATTGTACATAGTACAACCATAGATTAACAGATATGATCTTTTAATCTATGGTTCACTTTTGACACTTGTGACTATTGTGGTGTCGTCACAGACTTGTGTCCAAACATAGGACGTTCCCGTCCGAGATAAAATTAATAAAAAAAAAACGCTAAATTTGCTTAAAAATTTACACCAATTAGCGTGAAATGAAGTAAATTCTGCTTTACTATTATCTAATAGGATGACCATAATTTGGAGAATATTTACAATTTTGTCAAATAGCCTATTTACGCAAATATGATTACGTGTCTCAGCATTGCTCCAATTTGAAATGGCTTCCAATTCGCCAACGCAGACAGACACGAGCATTAACTACCCTATATTCTTTTCTCTTTTCCACGCTAAAAATCTTAGATATTCAGACATCCTACTTCTTGACTGTCCCACTCACCGTTCTGACTTCGTTCTGACTTTCTTGGTACAATCTATCCTGTTATGGAACGCGAAGATTTCCCTCTCGCGATCAGGATGGCAAAAACTCGGCAAACTTTTAAACACCTGTTGTGGAAACATTTCTTAAACACTTTATCACATCCTCCACAGTATTATGTGTATTATGATCACGATTACTTATTGTATTTGTATTTATCATTAAAATTATTCCAATGTTATTTATATAAGTACTCTGGTTATATGATATTCTATATATGCTATAGTTGTAATAAATTAAATTTTTAATCTGTGTGCATTTACCACGTTTGGCTCTGCATCGCCCTAAGGTCGACTAGTAAAAAGTGCCTACGGCATTAAGCCCGCCTTTGCCAGATTTGTGTATAAAAATTTAATAAATAAACAAATACTCTGAAACTGCCAGAACTAACTTCCTCTCACCTTTTCGTCTAAATTCTGTTGATCTAATTCAGATTTAACATGCCAACAGCTTAGCTTGTACTAGACACACACACTTGAGTCTAACAAAAATAAACACTTTAAAGTTTAATATTGCGCAAACGATTCACTCAAAACTAATCTTTTACTGGAAAAACTATTCCTTTTCGATATCCCACATACTATGGAATAAACCGGACAATCCAAATCATCCCCACTGTAACTGCAGATTGTATTTCATCGTGGGTAAAATTACAGCTTTCTAGTACTAACAATCTTCAAGTTGAGCCACTGACGGACAGTCGGACATACAGATCAACATGACGCAACGATATAACTATAAGGATTCCTTATTAGGACTACGGAACTAAAAAACCTGTAAATCTTTTTGCTTTATTTTTGTTAATAAACGGAAACATTCTAAAACTCAATGGTAATCATTTTGATACTTTATTGCCATATGAAACTCAAGATACATTTTATTTTTAAGTTTAAGATGCCAGAAAATGTGTGTTAGAGTAATAAAAGAATATTCACTCACATGAGTTTAATTTTTATAGCAAATGTTTTTGTTTTGTATTTAAATTTTGTATTTATATTTGCGAAAAAAACATGTTTTGTCATGGTCTTTTACCATCAGAAACGTTCTTTGTTATTTAAATTAATTAAGCGTATTCAGTATTTTATCACACAATCATCATTTCAACAGCGAAATATATATACATATATCATCATCAACACACATTCAAAGTCCACTGCTCTCCTTAGAAAGGAGGTTTGGGCCTACTATACCACGCGGGCCAGACGCGTTGATAAAGGGTTTGTGCTAAGTTTTCCCCCCTTTGCAGTAACGGGGATTTATTGACAAACAATCAATTCTTTTTTAAGGGTTTCGTCACTCAATCATCTTATCAACAGCCTTTAATAGTCCACTGCTGGATATAAGCCTCTCCTTAGAAAGGAGGTTTGGGCCTACCATACCACGCGGGCCAGACGCGTTGATAAAGGGTTTGTGCTAAGTTTTCCTTCTCTTTGCAGTAACGAAGTTTACCGACGAACAATCAATTCTTTTCTCTTTATGATATTGGTTTCCGTGTTGTGAAGGGTTAAGAATACAGAGTGTCACCACCCCTATTCATCCCGTGTGTGTCGTGATGCAACAAACTCTGCAGGACAACAGCATTGCAATAAGAAGGAAAACTCGTAACAAACTACGAGTACATTAACTCGCATGGCTAGCGTGGTTTAGTCCATTACAGTAAGGCCAAAACCTCCATTGTAAGGCGAGGCCTATGCCTAGCAGTGGACTGTTAGGGGCTGTTGATTATGATAGGTTTTAAAGAAATTTGGATACTGACGACATGGCATGCTGTTTAAAGAGGATTATATGTTTTAGAGGGTTCCGGGTTTTCCGCCAAAGCTAATTCAAGTTATGTAAGAAGTTTCAATGTGGTCGACATTAAAACTTCAATTTTCTTTTTCTAAAACTGTTAAAAATATCGTTTTTGTGAATAGCGGATTATTTGCACAAAATCTCTAATTATAGTACAAAGGAAGGAAACTGTCTAAACTGTATTAAGGATTCCTCAGAAAATATTAACACATTACACAAAGTTTAGAAAGTATCGGAATATCCCGATTTTCGAAAACAACTATACCAACAGGTTCCTGCATACTTATATATTTAATGATTTTGTATGCATCATCCTCTAAAGTAAACACGCGGTCATTGACTGCGTATAAGGAAAAACTCAAAAAACTTGATATTTCAAGTTAAATTATGATTTTTGGAAACAAAAGACTAAGTATATCATATATCTAATCTACATTCATATATCTAAGTAAATTATATATCTAATTAATATGGAAATCAAAACCAAAACATTTAATGCAAAAAGACGTAAATAACTACAAATTCTGGAGAAATTATAACGTGTAACGTTTGTTTGATAAATTCAGATTTCACTGCGATTTCTCGATCTCTATCTCTTCGAGAGAACTGCTAAAGAGGAAATAGAATCTGGGTTGTACAGGTCAGGAGTCCACATCCAGGGATCCAGAAGAATGGACAGAGTGAAGTGAATGCAATCAACCACTTCACTCCTTAGTGAACACTGACAAGATCTTATGATGGCTATTAAACCGTGAAGTCTCTCATTTCGTTTTGAGAAGTGGCATCACCCCTTACGCCTATAAGGGTGCCTAAAGAAAACAAGAGGAATCACAAATTACGAGTACATACGTACTTTCAAATTTCACAAAAGGTGTACCATGCATTGAAGAAAGTAGTACGATCTTTCCTCTCATTCGTGCTGGTCTTCTTTAAAGAACCGGGGCAGAAGCAGGCCTAGGATAGTAGCACGTAAATTGCAGCGGCAGCCATACTGGGAGTATAGGTACTCCATGGTCGCCGTTCGCTAAAATGCATAACTGAATCATATTCCAATCCGAAGTCATTTAAATTATCTTTAACATTAGGAACTTTAAACAACTTAAACAGGAAAGCCAAAATATATTACTAATGTCTATATCAGTATACATTTGTTTCTAAATTATCTTCCTTAAATTTATTTAATTACCTAGATAAATCCACTTTTAAAGCATTAAAAGTGGATTTTTGCTAGCTTATATTTAAAAAGAAAATGTTAATTTGTTTAATTCAATTACCCGGGCCTTGGACCCGTCAAAGTAACGAAAAGTCGAATCTGTAACTAAAGTATGATCATTTTATTTTTAATAGAAATACATTGGATTGAGAGCTGAGAAAAGGATTAAGATATAGTTTTATATAAAACTGGACTTCGTTTAATTTTTTTATGAATTATGTAAATGTCTAAAAAATATTCGTAATCAATAGAATGTGTTCGTACAATTACAATCACAGTTAAGATCCGGTTGCCATTTGCCTTTGCAGTTTTTGACCCAACCAGGCGATGCATCCAAGCCCTGATGGTTGATTATTGTTATAGCACAATTAAGAGTTGCTGTAATATTGTCAGACACGAGATCTGAAAAAGTATACACTAGAGTAAGTAATTATATACGGGTATCAACTTTTATTACAGATTTGATTAATTGCATTAGTATTCATAAATCCACAATAAAGACTGTTTAGGTAGAAGAGCTCAATAGTAAATTTTTAAGGTGTACGTTATGGACTGAATGTTAATTGTGACATCTTTAGTAATATTATAAAGCTGAAGACTTTGTTTGTTTGTTTGAACGCGCTAATCTCAGGCAGTACTGGTTCGATTTGAAAAATTCTTTCAGTGGTAGATAGCCCATTTATCGAGGAAGGCTATAGGCTATATATCATCACGCTAAGATCAATAGGAGCGGAGCACCAATGAAGAATGTTTCGAAAACGGAGAAAATTTATTACTATTGAGAGACGCAGACGAAGTTGCGTGGGTCAGCTAGTTATTCATAATATGCATTCAGGCAGTTTAAAATATGCCTGATATGAGATGACAATATAATAAAAACACCGGACAAATGTGAGTCCGACTCACTTGCTGAAAGTTCTCGAATCAGGATGGACTGTTACTATTCTGATTTAGAATTATCAGAAATAGCCGAAAAGCGAAGTAATGTTATGAATTATTATGTGCCCTAAGATGCCCTATAAAAATTCTTTTCTTTTCTTTTATGGAACGGAAACCTAACACCCTTTATGAAAAATGGGCATGCCATTAGGGCAGAGTAACAAACATGTGTTTTATTCAATTGTTTTAGCAATAACATACCTCGTTATTGTGCAATAAATATAACAGGTGAGAACAATTTCTATGAAGCGAATTCTTAAAAAAATAAGTATTTGTCTTATTATGATTATTGTAAAGTAATATTTATCATATATACTATTATCGCATTGCAGGCATTCCTGGGTTAAATTCTTTAAACAGTCTGCCTTTGATAGCATTTAATCAAAATTTAATAAAAAAACCATTGTATTTTGTAACAGTGCGCGTTTATTGATGATCATAATCCCTTCATGTCAGTATGTTCATTGAACTAGCTTCATGTCATACATATCATTATCACAAGCCCAATAGTTATATAGTTGATATTCAAAATGGCCATACTTTGTGATAAATAATACAATTTATATTTGTCTTACAATCATTTTTACATTTGAGTATCAGGAATATCTTAGAATAACAGTTTCGTACATGCTTTTTGTCTTTTTTCTAAATATACCTTTACAGCGCCCATGAAATGCAGAGAAAACCCGTAGTGAGCGCACTGGCTTAAAAGACCTTATTTCTTGTAAAAACCTGGAGTAATTTGGACGAGAAGATTGTATGGACCTATCCAAAACTTTGGGAACGTTTGCTAAGTTACGTATAATTTTCTAATTCATAAAAATAATAAGGCGATAAGAATCTTACCGTTACAGTGTACGTTGCAGCCTTTGCCAGGCGCCCCAATAGGATTGCACCAAAAACGGTCGTTTATTTGGAAAAGACCCCAGTCATATGAGCCGTCATAGTTAGGGCCGTCTATTACATCCGTTTCAAACATACTTTCTGCTCTAACTAGGCATACCACTGTAATAAAAATATAGAAATAAAATATTTTCTATAGACGCACTACGTACTTTATAGAATAGCACTATTCTTTAAAGCATTTGTGCATTCTATAAAGCATAACAAAAGTATGTTTATGCAGAGTCTCTACTATAGTAACTAGCAGTCTGTTAACTATAGTATCGGCTCTACCTAGTTTGGGATTAGGCGGCCGTGTGTAAGACGTTTTTTTTTTAAACTTCCAGTTTTCTTTTAAACTTCCAATAAAGTAGCTAGAAAGTTTTAAGCTAGGAGTAAGTTGGAAATATTGAAATTAGAACTTACTATTTACTACAAATATTTGATTTGTGTCATGAAGGTTGCTAATAAGTTACAATTGATAAAATAAGCAGCAGGACTGAAAATAGGAAGATGCATTTTGATACATGGCCATAAATAAATTCAAGGAGAACAGGAAGAAACTTAAATTTTGAACGTGTAGGATGTATGTAATTTACATTAAAAAAAAAATATGAACGTAGAAAACGAATAAAATTCTCAGAATTAGTATATCTATTTTGCTGTTAATACATTTTTGGTTGTAGATCTTATAGAGGCTCTTAAGATGCCTTGCAAATGTACATGCAGTTTTTATACCAAATGTTACATTGTTGTTATATAAAATACTAAAATAAATAGATCAAAAGGACTTTTTACTCACAGTCTCTCATTTGATATTCAGGGAACCCATGTCTTCTTAATTCGTAAACCAGTTCACATTTTGAAACGGTTCGAGTTAGGCCCGTAGTAGCCATGTACAATATGATGCATATAAAAATAATTTGCGACATTTTAATTAACTGTTTATCTGTAATGGAGCTCTCAGAACGACTAGTCCGATATCTAACATGTGACATATCATATAAACACAAGTTATTACGCACTTACTTTATCGCAGGCAATTATTCCGGGGGAATACTTAATACGTACATAATCAAACTATTTTGTATGTATTACTTTACAGTTAATGAGAATATCAATGATGCGAACGCTGTGGTACAGAATAAACGAACTACGTGTCGTTGAAAAGATCAGCGGGTCTAAGGGATGAACCTCACAAGATGGAAGCCCTGTGGTTTCACAGGAAACGCAGAGGTGCAGTTCCCACCCGCACGCTTATTAAAGTGGGGGAAACAGTGAACGAGGTCGGGCGGCATATCAAATACCCCTCACGCTGGACAGCCGCTCGAGCTTCGAGGATCTCTCTACAGAGGCTTTTGCCTAATCTTAGGGATCTGCGTAAGGAAATCCGCCGCCTTTAATCTTAAATCTACTGTGTGGTTATACGATCCATGGCCCCCTCCCGCTGCCGAGCTAAGCTACAATTTGGCATGTTTCCCGCCTTTTGATATCATGGCGGATAAGGATGCGAGGGTGTATGACCAGACCTGCGCAATCCGCCAGGGTGAGAGCGGGGAAGACCAGGACGAGCTCGAAATGCGGCGGAACGCTCACCAACAGGCACTAGAACAGCCGCGGAACGTGCGCCAACACGCTGTCGGTGCCGTGAGGAGGGAGGTCGCGTCAATGTTGTTGCCATGCTGGCGGGGGAGGAGGGATGGGGCGCAGTGGTCTCTTTCTGTGAAGTTGTAATGCTCCAGACAGAGACCGCTGAACGGGATCGGGAAAGGGCCGATCCCGGCGGCCTCACTTTCACTTGATTGCAATAAGACGCAATTGGGCCTGATAAGACATGGTGTCAATTCGGGGAGAATCTGAAATAACATGATCCGGGTCCACCCAGAGTAGGAAATAACAAAAATAGCTGTCAAGTGTCAAAGAAAGTCAAATTGCGTTCCAGGCCGCATATTTTGTCATTGATTAGTTGTAAGTTTGAAACAAAGTCTTTTGAACGGGAAGTTCGCCCAGAAAATTGTGACACAATTTTGCTTCTTTTTATTTTTGTTTTCTTTTCTTTTTATGATTACTTTTATTTAGTTAATATCTTCCAATAATTTCTAAATGTAAAACACATGACTGGCGGGTGGATCATAAAATGTTTTTTCTTTATTACTACTATTCATTTATTATTATTATTTATTGAACATTATTGCTCTATTAGTTTACTTATATATTCTTGAGTCAACTTTATGTCTGACTTGGACAATAATGATGATGACAGTTTTTACTCGATAAACAGTCTTGATTCTAGTTACGTTAGCATACCCTCACTCCATGAGAATCTGTAGTACCAATTTTCTAATGCTCCGCGGAATTTTAATGTAGTCCATATCAAAGCCCAGAGTATTCCAGCTCATTTCCCTGATATGCTGGCGACCTTTGATTGCAAAAACATTAACGCCATTTTAGTTTCAGAAACATGGTTAAAACCGTGCCTACCTTCTACACCATATACTCTTCCTGGTTTCAATCTCATAAGGAATGACCGTGCGATCGGTGGTGGGGGTGGTGTTGGCATATACCTTCGACAGCACATTCCCTTTACCATTGTAAACATGTCGTCACAGCCCCCATCACCGGACGCTGGCGAGCACCTCTTTATAGAACTAGTAGTTAATCATGCGAAGATTTTACTTGGTGTTTACTATTCTCCCTCGTTACGTACTAATTACTTTTCCTCTTTTGAAAAATTACTAGAAAACTTATCTCCCTCTTATAGCCACACATTAATAATGGGCGATTTCAATACCTGCTTCATGAAAAATGACCATCGCTCTTCTTCACTACGCAGAATTGTGGACTGTAATAACTTATCACTCTTAACACTTGATGCTACACATCACTTCCCTAACTGCACTCCCCCTCTTCTTGATCTTATCCTAGTCTCTTCTACTGATCATGTTATCAGCCATGGTCAGTATTCCGCTGATGCTTTTTCCTATCATGACTTGATATTTCTCTCTTATGCTATCCGACCACCCAAGGCAAAGCCGAGAATTCTTGTGCAGCGTAATTTCGGCGCGATGAATCTTGTAAGACTTAAGGAAGATGCGCGAAACATCAACTGGAACAATTTGTTAAATTCGCAGTGTGTTAATAATAAAGTCCAAATATTCACCGATAACTTGATACAGCTCTATAACGTCCACGCGCCCTTGCGATCAATAAAACTTAAACATTTACCGGCTCCAACCGAATGCGGCTCATTATGTCCAGGAAATGTATAGCGAAAAGCAAATACAAGCGTCGACCAACCGAAGCGAACCTGGAAAAATATGTGTACCTGAGAAATCTCTGCAATAAGATGTGTAGAAACGCACAACGCCAACACATCCACTCTTCCGTAGAAAACGGAGATTCAGCAAAAGTCTGGAAATTTCTAAGAACATTGGGAGTCGGGAGGTCTCGCCAAGAGCCTATTCCCAAAAATGTCAACATTGACTTACTCAATAAACATTTCTCTGCCTCGTCTGACATTAGTGACAGTACAAAAGCTAATACTCTTAGATCCACCGTCTGCTAAGCTAATACTCTTAGATCCATGGTCCGATCGTCTTTGATCAGTTGTCCGCTTGTGATGTTAGGAAGACCATTCTGGCGATCTCATCCAGCGCAGTGGGAAGTGATTGCATCAGCCGAAATATGATTATTCCTATCCTTGACGAAATTCTATTTATCCTATGCAATATCCTTAATCACTCCGTCACAAGCGGTGTTTTTCCATCTGCATGGAAAGATGCCCAAGTAATCCCTCTTCCAAAAAAAGCTAAACCCTCTTCATTTTCTGACTATCGGCCCATATCTATTTTACCTTTCCTATCCAAAGTACTTGAACGCCTCATCCACTCTCAACTGACTAACTTCCTCTCCAAAAATTCTCTACTGAACCCCTTCCAATCCGGATTTCGCCCTGGCCATAGCACTACTTCTGCGCTGGTACACATTACAGACAGCATCAGACTAGGCATGGATAGTGGAAAGATCACAGTTCTCACCTTACTTGATTTTAGCAATGCCTTCAATACTGTGGATTTTCACATTCTGTTTGGCGTACTACGGTCTCTTAACATATCTCCATGGACAATTGATTGGTTTCATAGTTATCTGTCTGGTCGCCGGCAACGGATTTGCATTGATGACTCCATGTCCTCTTGGTGCAGTATTTCTGCTGGTGTACCGCAGGGTGGCGTTCTATCTCCTTTACTCTTCGCTGTTTTTATAAACTCAATCTCTAATCAACTAAGTTCCTTCTACCACCTTTATGCAGATGATTTACAAATATATACACAAGCTCCGATTAACATGTTATCGGATGCATTCAACATAATTAATGCTGACCTTCAACGCATTGGCGAGTGGAGTTATAACTATGGACTTATGATTAATCCTATGAAGACACAGGTGTGTGTTATTGGCAGCCCCAGGCTGATCTCAAAAGTTAACTGGACTCTACTGCCCCAAATTCAGTTCGGTGGCACAACTCTTGAGATAAGCACTACTGTAAAAAATTTAGGGATCTACATAGACAACACTTTATCATGGGGTTCACAGATGCCAGAGGTCAGTCGTAGGATAATTGCTTCAGCCGGTTCTCTTCGAAGACTACGCAAATTCCTTCCAACTGCAACTAGGGTTGCGCTTGCACATGCACTTCTCCTCCCAATTCTCGACTATGCCGATGTCAGCTATCTGAATCTCACTGAAGCACAACTCGATAAGCTTGAGCGACTACAAAATATGTGTATACGATTCGTATTTGGTTTACGAAAATACGATCACGTCTCTGAATTCCGTCAAATGCTCAAGTGGCTTCCAATTCGCTCTCGCCGGAATACTCATATCCTTATTTTCCTTTACAACATTTTGTTTAATCCCAAAACCCCTTTCTACCTCAAAGAACGATTCAAGTTCCTTAATGACACACACGAAAAATGTCTGCGCTCATCCGTAAGTTTACAACTGGAGATGCCACTGCATTTCACCAAATTTTATGATCAATCCTTCACTGTTGAAGCTGTGCGCTTGTGGAATGCACTGCCGCTTAACATCAGGCAGGCGCAAAAATTAAATAGATTCAAGAAAATGGTACAGGAATTTTATTCACCTTAATTGTGTCCATCACGCTTGAGGGTGTAACGAAACTGTTTCTCTTTCCTATATGTTTATTCATTTAAGAATGCGTATACATATATGTATGTGTATATGTATATTTGCTGGTATAGTATGTAGGTACTTATATATATGTAGGTTTATTTATTGTGATATGCATTGTAGATGTAAGTATAAAAATTGTAAATGTTTGTAGATAATATAATATGTGTAGTATATGTAATATGTATAGTAGATAATAATAAACTAATAGTAGGTTCACAAATGCAGATATTCAACTACTACTGTCTCTCTGCAACTTTTGATCCATCCTAAGATTGCCTGGAAGAAATTGCATTTAGCAATAAGGCCGCCCTTTGTACACTCGATATTTGATCGCTGTGTTCCTTTCTTGTAACTCTGTAATTTAGTGTGCAAATAAAGAGTTATTTATCTACCTATCTATCTAATACGAAAAAATACGAAATTGGATTTACATCCATACTAGTCGTGCCTTTACAATATTATATTTGTCTTTTAAACTAATAGGTAAAGGGTATTAAAAAATGGAAATATTTCCCATTAAGACCATTTTATTACCTGCGCGTACCTATCTTTGGCGATATGTTCACTAATTTTTACATTTGTTTTGGTCAAGATTAAAGGTCATATTCAAATGAAAGATATAGTTTGTGTACCCAAATAGTAAATCGTTTGTGCCTTGTTGACCTGGCAAAAAATAAATTTAACGTGTAGAATATAATATATCTTTATTGAAAGTAATATATGTATAATTGTTACA